AGAAGAAAACTTCCTCAACTTGATAAAGGGCATCTATAAAACAACAACAACAACAACAACAACAACAATCAACCTTATAGCTAACAACATATTATACTTACTGATGAAATGTTGAATGCTTTCTCCCCTAAGATTGGGAACAAGGCAAAGATGTCTGATGTCACCCCCTTGATGCACCATTTTTTTTGGAGGTCCTAATCAATGTTATAAGATGGGAAAATATATATATATGAGACAAAAGATCATAAAGAAAACTGTCATTATTCACAGATAGCATAATTGTTTATGTAGAAAATCTTAAGGAATATGAAAAGACTAATAGAACCAGTAAGTGAATTTAGTAAGCTCACAGGATAAAAGGTCAAAATACAAAAATCAGTTGCATGTTATATAGTTTCTATCAAGTAGCAATAAACAACTGGGAAGTAAAATGAATAAAACAAAACTTTATTCATTGACTCTCAATGACATAAAATACTTGCTAATTAATTTTATGAAAAAATGTGCAAAACTACAGTAAAAATTGCTGAGAAATTAATAATAAATTGAATGATATCCTGTTTATGGTTTAGAAAACACAATATTATTAGTATCAACTTACCCCTCAAATGATGTATAGATTCAATCTTGTCCTTTAAAAATTTCACTATTTTTTCCAGTAATTGACAAGATAGTTCTAAAATTTATGTGAAAATGCAAAGGATCTAGTAGCCAAAACAATCTCATAGAAGAAGAATAAATATAGAATAATAAATTTGTAAGACCTAACCTACCTGATATTAAGATTTATGATAAAGCTATACTTTTCAAGAAACTGTAGTATTGGTAAAATAATAAATAGACCAATGGAACAGAATAGGGTTCAGAAATTAATCATATTTTGTCAATTTGACAAAGTTGTCAAGTCAATTCAATGAAGAAAGGAAAGTCTTACCAACAAATGGTGCTGAAAAAACTGGATATCTATGAGGAAACAATGAACTGTATCTCCACCTCACAACAAACACAAAAATTCATCTGAAATGGATCATAGATCTAAATGCAAAAGTTAAAACTGTAAAGCTTCCAGAAGAAACTATAGGAGGATACCTTCATTATGTTGGGTTAGCAAAAATTTCCTGGTACACAGACTTTACTAACCATAAATGAAAAATATTGATATATTAGACTTCAAACTGTGAAACTTCTACTCTTAGAAAGACACCATTAAGAAAATGAAAAGGGCTGGACACGGTGGCTCATACCTGTCATCCCAGCACTTTGGGAGGCCAAAGTGGGAGGATGTCTTGAGCCCAGAAGTTGAAGACCAGCCCCGGTAATAATGAGGTTTTGTCTGTACAAATAAAAAAAATTAGCCAGGTGTGATGGCACACACCTGTGGTTCCAGCTACTCAGAAGGCTGAGTTGGGAAGATAACTAGAGTCCAGGAGGTCGAGGCTATAGTGATCTGTGATCATGCCACTGGTCAACAAAGTGAGACCCCCCACCTCAGCAACAACAAAAGATAATGAAAAGACAAATTCACAAAAGTAAAAATATTTGCCATACATGTATATGCACAAAGGACTTGTATCTTGGACATACAAAGAAAGAAACCTGACAGCCAATAATAAGTCATACAGCCATTTTTTAAAATGGGCTAAAGATTTCAACAGAAACTTAACAAAAGAAAACATAGTATGACCAATAAACACGGAAAAGATGCTTAACACCCTTAACACCAAGGAAATGGAAATAAAAACCACAATGAGATACTATTCACACCTTTTACCCCTAAAATGATTAAAATTTCAATGAATATTAATACCAAATGTTGCCAAGGGTATGAAACAACTGGCAAGATCATGCACTGCTGAGGAGATTATTAAATAGTGCAACTGCTTTGGAGAAACAATTTGAGAGTTTCTTAAAAAGTTAGCATACACCTACTGTATGTCCAAACACTTCCCCACCTAAATGTCTACTCAAGAAAAATGAAAACATATGCCTTAAAAAACTTGTAAAACTTGTATATGAATTCTTACAGCAGGTTTATTGATAAAAAGCCCCTAAATAGAAACATCACAAATATACCTAGAAAGGAGAATGGAAAAATAAATTGTGCTATATTTATATAATAGAATACTACACATACTACCTATGAATAAATAACCTGTCCAGCCCTATTATTCTATCATTTTATCAGTCCATTTAGAAGTAGGTGTTTTACAATAATGAGATACCACTTCACATCCACGAGCATGGTGTTAAAGCAAACTAAATATGGCCTGAGAAGAACTTCATACTTCTATATTTGAGTCCTTGTGGATAAACTGCAACCTAACAATAGGTAGACAAGATTGAAAACCTAACTTAGGAGTATGTGTCTGTACCAATAGCTGAGTGTTGGACAATCCCAGCAGCCACACTTCAACCACTCATAGACTGCTGAGTGTTCAAACTGTGTTCAAATAAGGCAAACACAGAGCTGTAACCAATCCTACTGTTTCTGTACCTCACTTCCAATTCCTGTATGTCACTTTACTTTTTTTGTCTAAAAATTTGTTCTGATCACAAGGCACCCCTGGGGTCTTTGAATCTGCTGTGATTCTGGAGGTTGCCCAATTTGCAAACCTTTCATTGCTCGATTAAACTCTTTAAATTTGATTTGGCTGAAGTTTTTCAATAATGGCCATGACCAAAAACATAGATAATAAGTATTTTCAAGGATGTGAAGAAATTGGAACCCTATACATTACTGGTGGGAATGTAAAATTATACAGTTGCTTTGGAAAACAGCCTGGCAGTTCCTGAAATTGTTAAACATGGAGTTACCAAATAACCCAGTAATTCTACTCCTCACTATATACCCAAGAGAAGTGAAAACATACATTCACAAAAAGTCTTGCACACAAATGTTCATAGCAGTATTACTTATAATAGCTGGAAAGTGGAACCAACTCAAATGTTCATCAAATCATGAACTGGATAAATAAAATGTGGTATATCGTACTATGTATTATTATTTGGCAATACAAAGTAATTAAGTTCTGTTACATGCTATACCATAGATGACCCTTTAAAAACATTATGCTAAGTGAAAGAAGCCAGTCACAAAAGACCACCTACTGTACAATTCCATTTATATAAAATGTCCAGAATAGGCAAATGTGTATAGAGAGAAGGTAGATTTATAGTTGCCGAGGGTTAAGAGTTGGGGAAGGAGAATGGGGAATGACTGCTAATGGGTATTAAGTGATGAAAATGTTTTAAAATTGATTATGGTGATATTTGTGAAATAGAATAGGGATGAAATTTAGCCCTCACCATGATTTGGCCTCCACACCCACTAACACATTTTTTTCCATACCCCCCCATTACCTACCAGATCTCCCACCACCCCCTCCATTGGGGTCATCCCTGATGGCACAAGATATCTCTTGAAATGAAGATAAGCAGCATCCCACTGTAAATCTTACTCAAGGGAGTTGACCATATCACAGGCATGTGCACAAGACCAGAAGAATGTCTGATCTTTACCCCATGCCTCATTGTAATACTAAAATCCTCACCCAGGGAAGAGCTTATCCATCATATTTTGATAATGCAATGTATGCACTAGCATGATTTCTCATTGTGCCTGCACACCCTGTGCTCCACCCTGTACATGTAATGACACTCCCATACCTCATGCACAGTCCTGTCACCTTTCCTAAAAACACCACAAAGACCTGCCCTCGGAAAGCCAGCCAGGTAACTCTTGCTCCTGCACTGTCTCCATTGTGTTCAAACATAAGTTCCATTAAAAAGCCTTGTTTCGGAAACTTGCTCAGCCTCTTGTCAATTTCTATTACATGAGAGCCTAAGAACCTGTGGTTGGTAATAGTTGTACAACTCTGTGAATGCTAAAAACCATTGAGTTGTACACTTTAAAGGATGGATTATATGGTATGTGAATTATATTTCTATAAAGCTGTTTTTTAAAAAAGATTGGGTGCTCTTGTGGTGCAACACCCTTGCACTTTCCACTGTGCTTTATTGCCTTCCAGTGTATCCTTGTCTGGCTCAGCGTAAATGATGGTTTATTTAATAGCAGGGAAATGGACTACATGATCTGGATCCTTTAGACCAAATGGTCTGTGTTTCAGTGAATCACTGGATACAGGAAATGGAAAATGAAACCATTTCTCTTATGTTAAAAGAAAAACTTTACACAAATTAAATTTGATAAATTTAAAACTTCAGACAAATTTAAGTTTAATAAAATTAAATTTAACAGAGCTTAACAGAAGAATGATTAGAGAATCAGTAGCCCTCAGAGCCAGCAGAGGTTCAGAAAGCTCTACTTCACAGTGTGGGCAGGGAACTTTTATGGACAGAATATGGAAATGAAGTACAGAAAGCGCTTGATTGGTTACAGCTCAATGCTTGTTTTATTTGAATATGGTGTGGTTAGTGGACCACCTGTGATTGACTGAGGCTGGCTGCTATGGTCAACTGAGTCTCAGCTATTGTTACAAAAATATACTTGTAATTAGGCTTTCAGTTAGTTTAAATCCTGTTAGGTTGTAATTCCTTACATAGGGACTCAAAGTAGAGTTCCCCCAGTGCAAATTTAGTTTAAAAAATAATAACTCTCTTAACAAGAAGGTATTCCATAATGGATGCTTTGCTTCGGTTCAACTCGCAAACTCTATCACTTGCTAGCTATGAAACTTTAGCCAAATTACTTAAACTCTTTTTATCTTTGGTTTCTTCACACAAAAATGAGGATAATAATACCCATATCATAAGGTGTTATAAGAATTTAATTATATGTAGAAAGTTCTCAGCACAGTATCTAACATGTAATAAGTGTTGAATAAATAGTTACACAATTACTGTTTATTTTTATCATGATTATTTATAGTGTATAGTTTCTAATTAAGTGCTTTCCTCTTTAGAGGAGTCAAAATATTCTTTATGGCTGTTTACTATTTATACTTCACAAGCCCTGTTGACATGTGCTGTTCTTTTAATAGGTACAACATAAGAGATATGATGCAATTCTTAAGCGTTTGCATTGTCAGGTGAACAAGCTTCAGTCAAATAGACGACAGTGGCAATGGAACATTCAACGACTGGAAAAAACTGCAGCCGAATTAAGAAAATGCATTGGAACGCAAGAACAACATTGCCATAGCGCAGTGTGGAACACAGACGATGACAACAAAAATTATGGGACAGAACACTGAGAAAATCTTTTGGATTCCTAATAACAAGCATCCACTATCAGTGGCCTGTCTTAATGACAGATGTCTTTGGTTGTTGTTGTTGTTTTTTAAATCAGTCATCCATTTGTTAAAAGGCCTTCTAACCCTACACTTGACAGCAGTTGACAGACAATAGGAATGCCTAGAGGAGAATAGTGCAAGAGTCTCTATGACTATTTTGAGTGTGTAAAATGTATTATACTCATGTATTATACTGTTTATAACTATGTTGCATTCACTACCCTATGAAGTAAAAATTTAGAAGGGAAAAAACATTTGATTTTTTTCAATGATTTATATTATTAAGATATTTGAAAATGTGTGTCTGTTTCAAACTTTTTATTGGAACTTGTTTTTTTACAACTGCCTTTACAGTAGCCCATAAATATTGATATTTATAATAATGTTTTTGTATGTTCAATGCTTCAAATATTTTTTCCATTTTCTCTTTTATCTAGAAGGTAACGATCATTTTTCTTTGTTATTAAATAACATATTTTAGAGTGATAACAATGAATAAAATATTTTGTTCACTTTTCCGTCTATAAATTATTCATATTCTGTGACTAAAGTTACAGCATCATGTAACTCTTAAGAGTATTAATCAGTACATACTAACATTTTTTCTCAGTGAAAGGCAAAATGTCGATAAATCAAATGTTAACTTGCCCCTTTCAAGGTAAAAGTGATCTCTTTAATGCTTCCATTGAGTCAAATACTTAGAAACAAAAACAAATATGAAGATATGGTTTTAAAATATTCATTTGTAAGATTAATTTCAAACAGAGAGCATCAAAAAATTTTTTTTAATTCATTATCTCTTTGCCTTTCTATGTGCCTAAAATTCAGTAAGTGGAGCTGAAATAAAACCTGATATAATAATCTTATTATGGATAACAGTATAGTTTTATTATGGCTTAGCATGGCTTACTATGGCTAACACTTCAAACAGCTTATCCTGTAACACAATCAGCTTCGGTCCATGACTCAGAAACACAGCTACAGTAAAAATGGTGAAACCTACAGATTGTGGGGAGTACACACTATGCTCGGCTGAAGACAAGCCTGAACCAAATGCTGATTATATAAATAGATTTTAATGTAACTTGCATATTAAAAAGTTATTACACTTCCTAAGTTTAGTTATCACTTAGATTCTAGTTTTCTAAACTGCTTTTAAGTTTATACTGGGATTCAAAATATTTGTAAATGATAAAACTTTGAATTATAGATTTGAAAGTTTGTTTTTAAATTCAGATATGAAGAAAATAGGTATAATCTGCATAAGATAATGTGCTCTATTTGTAAAAGCAAGTTTAATGTAGTTTTCTAAAATATCATTGATAATACATGTACCTATTTTACATTTTATGACAGTCAAAAACTATTTGAAAAACGTTTTTTCTTGTTCTTTCTAATCTTAAAAACTATTTCAGATAATAGAGGCTTTCAGATTAATTAAGAACTAAAATTAGAGGTATCCAAAGCTTGATGATTTAGTGGATATGATATTTTAACACAATCATAAACTCTAAAATTAGAAAATTGAAGTTGCTTTTAATTTTAGTTCTGTATAATTGAACTTAGCTTAGAATATGAGCTCTTTTGCTTAGTGGCATTCACACACATGCTTCTGACTTAACACTCAGTCTCTTTGGGGTAAATAGTTCAAAATTCTCCTCTTTCTCATTTTTTTTTCCTCTATGGAAATGTTCAAAGTTCCTGGGGGACTTGTGTCATCAGGGACATGGCTCTGCTCCAAATGTTATTTTCTAATCTCACTGGCCTGTGCAGAAATGTAATCCATTTTTCCTGGTGTTGAGGATCATCGTGAGTCTGTGCTATATATGCAACTGTTTAGTCAATACAGTCAGCTTCATTGTCCAATCACAAGACCTCTTCCAGCCCTATTTCATTTTCTGTCTGTATGCTGGTCAAATTTCATCTCTTTGGGACCTGCTATTCTATCCATGCAGTCTTCCCCACTCCTTGATTTCAGTATAAATGGAGTCTTTCAAGGTTCTCAGTGCTTTTAATAGCTCAGCAAAATTTCAACTCTCAAAATAATGAATCTTCTGCAAAGGAAAGCTATGATTTCAAGAATACTGTTTCTACTGTGGACTTTTAAAAAAGCCTAATATGAAACTCAAAGCAAACAAATTAGTTCTGAATTCTCAGTAGTATCTGTCCTGACCCAGACCTGCTAGGCACTATTACCTAAATGATCAGCAACAGGTAACAAATGCAAGGAAGCAGAGGGAAGAAAAAAACCCTACAGTTAACATCTCAAAATATTACTTACTACATGTGCAATCTATGGACAAATTATAATTGACCAATGTAAAGAAACTGATATCATATCTTTAAAACCATGGGAGTCACCAGATTTTACACATTAAAGGTGAAGTCAGCCATTATGGACACTTTGACGGCCAATATAAATGGTCTATATATTGTCTGTTAGACTGTGTCTCTTCCAGTCAATTGATTAATCATGCTATTTTCCAAAAACACTGTAGACACAAAATAAAAACACTAAACAATGATAAAGTACTGAGTATTCTGTGCCCTATTTGACAATTTGTATCTATCATGTCATTTAATTATCAAAATAATGGCCTAAAGCATATGTTATTTTCCTTAATTTGCAGATGGGGAAACTGAGGCTTAGGTTGAGTAACTCGCTTAAGATCTCATCACACAGCTCATCGGCGCAGGGTTGAGATCAAAGTCCTATTTTAGCTAGATGGAACTACAAGAAAATGATTCCAAGGACAAGCTTCAATTTTATTATAAGTAAGTAATAATTTATTTCTACATTTAATCTATCATTTTGATATATTACAAGGCATACAATAAATTTAATCAAAGGGAGAAATTTTGTAATTAAAAATAAATGACACACAAATGCATAGGTGACAGTACATGAGAATCAGTGTCAGTATAATATTTTGGCTGTGAAAAATGGAATCTTGTTTATGAAAATTGCTTTGGAATCTTTTAAAGCTTACATAGGACGTTGCAATTAAAACTCTAAATTTCTGTTATTTTACATTGAACATGGAATTCACTGTTTATCCATAAAAGTTATTAAAGGACTATGTGAATACTATAATGATTTGAAACTATTTGGAGGAGGAATCAGTAATTCAGAAGAACACGTGGTTTTCATTTGTTGTTGCTCGTAGTTTAGCTTCTCATATTTTCAATATTATATATATTTTATTTTTCATTAAGCTAATGATTACTAAAGCTAATGATCAGAAGCTAAAAGTTATATGCCTGTCAAAAACAACCTATGTTATCTGTTATTTGAATTTATAATGTATTTCTAAGGGAAGCAGCTGTTTTTCTTTGCTGATAAGGCAATGTAAGGAATGGGTCTTCTGCATTGCATTAGCTATCAAATAATACTTTCTCTTGAATATTACTGAACTATAACCAAAACCAAGAAAAATAAATTGAAACTGATACTAATAGCAAAATAGATCTATTCAATACATAGCTAAGAATAGGCTGCTCCAAATTGCTTTTTCTTTTCTGTAATGTTCTATTTAAATAATGACTGTGAGCTCTAGATCTTTAGAAAAATAAAAATAGCATATGATTTGGTAATGACAGGGTTGCTGTTTACATAATCCAGTGAAGACAGACATGAAGTAATGAGACTTCAACCTGTTAATTAATGAGATGATGTATTCCAAAAGCAAAATTAGAGTTCATATGATAAATAGTTTTAAAAGGCTTCTTACCCAAAAGCTCTCTAGCATAAAAATCATGTCAAAATTGGAATAAAAGACTTAAATTACTGATATTTGTCAGTATTACTCAATCACATAGCACAAGGTAATTTAGAGAGATTGACAATATATTGCCAGTCTAAGATGAATTTTTAAATATTTTTTGTCCAAAATAAGTAAGTCAAGACACATCATCCACTTCATCTGCTACTGTTATCCCCCTAACATTATTTTACATTAAATAGACATATGTGATCCTGATGCTTGTATTGGAGATTCTGTCTTGAGATGCTTTCGAGACTGTTTCTCCCAGAATCCATCGTGCTTCTTTGTGTATATGACACTGAAAAAAGTATAGCTAGCCTACAATTTGCATTGGTTATTTTGACTTCAGTGACCTAGTGTTGACAAAGTCATGCACAGGTATCTGAACCAGATGTCTGGATCCCTATGCATGACCTACACACCTACTTGGCAAAAAATATCACATGATTTTCTCTTCCACTTTTTCCACAGAGACTGTCTAGCCACTCTCAAGTGTCATTCTTTAAAATGAAACCTCTCTGAGAACACTTTCATCACTTAGATGCAATATTGACTTTGCTGGGCAGTTAAATAATGTTGGTAATATTTTAATTTGTGGTTCATACAAATAAAACATGTAAAACATTCAATTCAGAAAAAGATCCATCCTTATTCTAACCCTCCACTAATGTAGATTATTTATCTTCTAAGCCTTTCAGTCTCAATCTGTCAATGTAATGTACTCATGCACAGTTTTCTAATAATTAGTGTAATTCTCTCATGTTTCTTTCATCTCTTTTAATAAAAAATGCAGCTTCCTCATTCAGACCTTAGCTTTTTCAGTCCCTACACAGCCATAAGTTGCATCATCTTCAAGCTCCAATTCTAATTTTCTGTTTTAGCTCCAAACTTAATCCAGTGGCCTCACTTAGATCTCAGTCATTGAAGATAATCTCTTCATTTAGAACCAGCTTATTCAGGAATCTATCCTTTTTTTTTTGACTTTGGCGTGCCCCACAAAGAAATCTTTCTGAAACATTGTGTAATAGACACAGTCACTGCTTTGCCCAAATCCTCTAAGATTTTTTAAAAATCCTTTTTGAGCAGCCCTCTCCCAATTGAGTCATGTTTTGCCTCCAAAAACTCTTACCTAAGACTTCCTTTGGGATGTTTGCTACCCTTAAAGGACTTTACTTGATATTGCAGCCTTGCTTGTCTTCTTTTCTCCTTACCAGTCCTACCTCCCTTCCTAATTTCTCTAGGGAAGACTTTAATAATAAATCACTCATTCAAGAATCTTCATCTCAGAATCTGCTTCTGGGAATCCCAAACTAAGTCACCTTACAAGATTAATCACACGCTGAAATCTCTATTTTCAAGAGATGACTATTGTTCTACTCCTGTTCCTCCCTCCTCCCTTACCCCAAATCAGTTCCACTCCCAGAAGCGGCCAAAGGAAAGAAGGAAAGAAATCTAATCACTATCCCATTTGATGTAATTTTCCCATGATTTATTTGCTTTAAATAAAAAAGCAAGCCAGGCCAGGCGTGGTGGCTCATGCCTATAACCCCAGTACTTTGGGAGGCTGATGCAGGTGGATCACCTGAGGTCAGGAGTTCAAGACCAGCCTGACCAACATGACGAAGTCCTATCTCTACTAAAAATACAAAAATTAGACAGGCGCGGTGGCACGCATGTGTA